CGCCCCGCTCCATTGCGCCGGCCCCGCCCCGCTCCATTGCGCCGGCCCCGCCCCGCTCCATTGCGCCGGCCCCGCCCCGCTCCATTGCGCCGGCCGCACCTCTCGCCAGCCCCTGGGGAACTTGTCCCCAGCAGGTCAGGCCTCGCCTCCTGGCCTGTGGGTTGTGGCTGCCCACGCCAGGCTTGGCCTCTGCTCACCTGGTACAGGAGGTATCCAGACACGCCAAGTCACCTCTCCAGGTCGAGATTCCCCAGCTAGTGCTCGCTGTGCCCCAGGAACACGGTACGTCGTGCTAACTCGGCATGGGGACATCCCACAGGATGAGATAAGGAGAACGCGTTATTGATGTATGAATTGGTGAAAAAAGAAAGCCATGTCGTTAAAAAATTAATGAGGAAGAAAGGCTGGCTTGTTTTGTATTTAAGCAACCGAAAAAAGGAAGTGGTTAAGGTAAAAGTGTGTGAATGGGATAGCTGAGGGTTGAGAGTGAGCAGAAGGAAAAATTACTAATTTCGGGAAGATATTTTGAAAGCTCTGTGGAATTGTTTCAGCAAACTAAGCTGTTAGTAATATTAACCGTATTGAGTTTTTATAAAGTGCCAGGCGCTACACTAAACACCATATGTGAATTAATTCACTCTTCAGGACATCCCTGTGAGGTAGTATAGCAATTTCTCTCATATTACAGATGAAGAAACTTATTCTTGGAATAAATAACTAAGATTATCCAGCTAAAAAGTAGTAGACTCCAGAATCTACTTCATGCCGTTGAAAAGAGCTTCTTTTCAAGGTCAAAAGTTAAAGTGGTGGAGAGAGGAAACACTGGTGTAATGGCAGTAAACCATGGCTACTGATGATGACAATAATTTGGTTGAAGTACGAATACCCCTTTCTCAGGAGGACTATAAAAAAAATAAAACAGAAAGAAAAATCATTTTATCTAACAAATAAAAATAAGATGAAAGAGATTTGTCTAAGTAGCTTGAAGCTGAAATTAATGGGGACTCTGCCATGCCTTGAACAGCATATGCACCTGTTATGTGGATAGCTAGCTGTCTGAAGCATGGTAAAATAGGATAGAAAATTTATTTAAGCTTTGAAAATGACTGAAAGTTCTTTCTTAAATCTGCCCCAGTGTGGGGAAAGAAAGTTACCCTTTCTTAGGCATCTAAGAAGTGCTGAATAAAATTGTTTACATATATTAACTTTAAATAATAGTAGGTCACATGGCAAACTAAGAGTTAGGATTCATTCATTTAATTAAATTCATCAAACATGCCTACTATGTGTCAGGCATCACATTAGGTATTGGAGATACAAAAATGAATGAGCTTAGTGAAAAATGAACATGGACTCTGAAGCCAGATCATCATGGACTTGAATTCTAGCTCCCCCATTTATTAGCATTGTTACCTTGTGCAAGTTACTTAGCCTCTCTGTGACTCAGTTTCCTCTTTGGTAGAGTGAGAATAAGAACAATTCCTTCCTCATAAGTTTGTTGTGGGGATTTAATAATATATTATTTGTAAAGCATTTATTGGGGTGGGAAGTGGCTTTGATGTAGTGGTGGTTTCTAAGTATGCTACTAGGGAGGCTATCCCAGAGGTCATATCCCAGAAACGCTCTGACCAAATTAAGATGCTTAAATCACACTGATTATTGAATCTATTTAAAACATACAGTGTTTTAAGTAAGGCAAAAGACATGGAGTAGGCTCATATATTTAGGAGGGCATATGGGAAGAGGAGGTTGTGGAAGGACCACACTATCTGAATCTTATGTTATTCAGTGTTCATATGTCCTGCCTTTGCTGCATCAGTCTTTCCAGCCAGTAGTGTGGTTATGAGGACCAGAGTTGAGGGTGAAGAAGGGGATTCAGCAGACTGAAGGTGCTTAGCGCTAACACACATTTTTGGAGAGATACAGGAGCAACCGTGCCTGGTCACAGCCATAACTTGCCATAAATTAGCCTGCTGAGCAACTATGTTTTTTTCCTGTGTTTCTTGGGCAGAGCACATGTGGCGCCAGAATGGATGTCACCAATGGGTGGCTGATTTAGGGATAACATAGTTGTTAATCTGAAAGTGACATGATCTGTACCTTATGAATATTTAACATTTACTTGGCCCTTCAAGCCCCTTCTATGTGTGATGCTCTCATTTGTTGCATTTTTTAAATTTATATGCAACATACATATGCTCCATTTATTCTATCTTTAATATGCCTCACAGGTTACTACATTATGTATATTTAATACATCTTATAAATCTCATTACGTCTCACAAGCTATTTGCTTCCATACTTAGTTTCCCTTAATTTTTATAGCAGTTTTGAATATTCTGAAATAATACAGCAATTACACACTACAGCACTTATAACAGTGCTTGGCAATCGCTGTTGTTGATTCTGACTCATAGCAACCCCATATGACAGAGTAGAATTGCCGTATAAGGTTTTCTTGGCTGTAATCTTTATGGAAGCAGATCGCCAGGTCTTTATCCCTCGGAGCTGCTGGGTGGGTTCAAACCACCAGCTTTTCAGTTAGCAGCTGAGTGCTTAACCATTGCACCACCAGGACTCTTTTGGCAATAGTAAATAGTAGTATTAGTTTTCCTCAAGATATTTACAGTTAATAAGGACAGCAAGTATAAAAAATGTGTAACTAGAAGATTCCTGGGAGTAAAAGGATCCTACATCTTCATAGAGTAGCTAAAGCGAAAGGAGTAGCTCAAGCAAAAGGAAGAAATAATGAAGTAAAAGAGCTGAACAGAAGATTTCAAAGGGTGGCTCAAGAAGTCAAAGTATTATAATGAAATGTGCAAAGACCTGGAGATAGAAAAACAAAAGGGAAGAACACACTCAGCATTTCTCAAGCTGAAAGAACTGAAGCGAAAATTCAAGCCTCGAGTTGCAATATTGAAGGATTCTACAGGAAAAATATTAAACAATGCAGGAAAAATATTAAACAATGCAGGAAGCATCAAAAGAAGATGGAATACACAGAGTCACTGTACCAAAAAGAATTGGTTGATGTTCAGCCATTTCAAGAGATAGCATATGATCAAGAACCAATGGTACTGAAGGAAGAAGTCCAAGCTGCCTTGAAAGCATTGGCAAAAAACAAGGCTTCAGGAATTGAAGGAATACCCATTGAGATGTTTCAACAAATGAATGCAGTGCTGGAGGTGCTCACTCCTCTATGGCAAGAAATTTGGAAGACAGTTACCTGCCCAACCTACTGGAAGAGAGCCATATTTGTACCCATTCCAAAGAAAGGTAATCCAACAGAATGTGGAAATTATCGAACAATATCATTAATATCACACACAAGTAAAATTTTGCTGAAGATCATTCAAAAGCAGTTGTAACAGTACATTGACAGGGAACTGCCAGAAATTCAAGCCGGATTCAGAAGAGGAAGTGGAACAAGGGATATCATTGCTGATGTCAGATGGATCTTGGCTGAAAGGAAAGAATACCAGAAAGATGTTTACCTGTGTTTTGTTTATGCAAAGGCTGTGTGGATCAACTGTGTGGATCATAACAAATTATGGATAACATTACAAAGAATGGGAATTCCAGAACACCCAACTGTGCTCATGAGGAACCTGTACATAGACCAAGAGGCAGTCGTTTGAACAGAACAAGGGGATACTGCATGGTTTAAAAGTCAAGAAAGTTGTTTGTCAGGGTTGTATCCTTTCACCATATTTATCCAATCTGTATGCTGAGCAAATAATCTGAGAAAGTGGACTATATGAAGAACACAGCATCAGGATTGGAGGAAGACTCATTAACAACCTGCAATATGAAGATGATACAACCTTGCTTGGTGAAAGTGAAGAGGACTTGAAGCACTTACTGATGAAGATCAAAGACTATAGCCTTCAGTATGGATTATACCTCAACATAAAGAAAACAAAAATCCTCACAACTGGATCAAAAAGCAACATCATGATAAATGGAGAGAAGATTGATGTTGCCAAGGATTTCATTTTACCTGGGTCCACCATCAACGCCCATGGAAGCAGCAGTCAAGAAATCAGAAATCAGACAACATACTGCATTGGGCAAATCTGCTGCAAAAGACCTCTTTAAAGTGTTAAAAAGGAAAGATGTCACTTTAAGGACTAAGGCGCACCTGATGCAAGCCATGGTGTTTTCAGTCACCTCATATGCACGTGACAGCTGGACAACAAATAAGGAAGACTGAAGAACTGATGCCTTTGAATCATGGTGTTAGCGAAGAATATTGAATACACCATGGACTGCCAGAAGAACGAACAAATCTGTCTTGGAAAAAGTACAGCCAGAATGCTCCTTAGAAGCGAGGATGGTGAGACTTTGTCTCACATACTTTGGACATGTTATCAGGAGGGATCAGTCCCTGGACAAGGACATCATGCTTGGGTAAAGTAAAGGGTCAGCGAAAAAGAGGAAGACCCTCAATGAGATAGACTGACACAGCGGCTGCAACAATGGTCTCAAGCATAAAGATTGTGAGGATGGCGCAGGACCGGGCAGTGTTTCATTCTGTTGTACATAGGGTCGCTGAGTCAGAACTGACTCAACAGCACCTGACAATAACAACATCTTCATATAGCCTCTGTGGCAGATTATGTTTTCCAAAATTGTCCACAGCAATATTTCTGGTCCCACACACTCTTCCAGAACCTTGATACTCCTTCCACGAAAATGTGGAGTCTAATTCCTCTCCTTTTGAATAAGAACCAGGCAAAAGCTGTCTCTCTCCGGAAACTCGCCCTTGGAAACTTAAGTACCATGCTTAGAGGAAACCAAAAACTAGTCTATACTGAGAGACCATATGAAGAAGTCCATGTGGAAAAGAACTGAGGGACACAACCTGGCTAGCATCAACCACCAGATGTGTGAATAAACGAGCCTTCAGAGGACTACTATCTCCCAGCCGTCAAGTCTTCCAACTGAAACCCCAGACATCATGGAGCAGAGACAAGCCGTCCTAACTGTGTCTTGTCCAAATTCCTAATTCATAGAATCCATGAGCATAATAAATGGTTGCTTAATGCCACTAAGTTTTGCAATAATTTGTTATGCAAACAGCCTCCGTCCCACTTACAGAGAGTTGTATGTGAATGATTTAAAAAGCAATCTAGCCTACGGTACAGAAAATATGTAATTTCAAGCTACTGTTAGCTTATTGTGAGCTATTCAATGGGTAGATCATCATTTCTCAAACTTGAACGATGTCTTAACCCCTTTTAAAGAAAAATAATTCCCACTGCCACTTCAGTAATTGACTTAAAATTATATATAATGTTACTTAAGGATGTACATAGACCAGTTATGAACTCCTTATTCTTAGAGCTTTATCCATCTATAAATTTATAAAGTAAATACAAACAAGACTATACAAATGGTAAAATTCAAAGTTATAACATTAAGCAATGGATTATGTTGTTTATTGTTTTGCTGAAACCAGGGCTTTGGCCCTGTTCATTCTGGTTTGAACTCCTGCTGAGAATTTGCATTTCCACACCCCACATTAAATTAAACTGCATCATTATTGTGAATTTTATAGTGACCATTAATGAAGCATGTTCTTTTGCATTCCAGCCATGGGATAGATGACTCCGTGTTTCAACAACAGCTCACCTGTATATTGTTTACCTTTCATGAGGAACAAATGCATCATTTACATATTAAAGTTACCTCTTTAGCCTTCAATCATTCAAAGTAGTATTCCTTAACATTAATCATAAATGATCATCCAGGTAACCCAAGATATACATATTAAAAATGAAAAATAAAACCCTTTTTGAAAATTGGCAGATCCTGAACCCTATTTTGAAAACCACTAGAATAGGTAGATGGTTCTGTATTGAATGAGCCATTCATTTATCATGCAGAAGGCAAATATGGAGAAAGGGAGATTAGTTTGAGAGCCAATTGGAATAGGCCAGGTGCTGGATAATGCAAGGCTGAAATAAAGCACTGGCAGTGGGAAACGCAAGAAGGAGACATGTATGTGACTTAAGTAGATATGTTCAAGATGATTTAATCAGTAGTTGGATATGTAGTGTATAATAGAGGGAGGATTCTAAGATGACTTAAGTTTCTACTTAAGAGACTAGTTAGTTAGCAATACCTTCCACCAATGAAGAGGATAAAGGAAGAAGGGCAAATTTAGTAGGAAAGTGAGTTCAGTTTTGGACGTGTTGAGATCATGGTGCCCATGACTTATCCAACTGGGTGTGTCTAGTAATATGGCCCAGAAGTGACTGGCTCAGCTGTAGATCTGATCTAGCTCTGCCAACCTCAAAGCCGTACTTAGCATTTCCATCACCGTAAATACTCATCTCAAAAGAATCAGCAAGCAAGGTAGTTTTTGTGTGTTTTAAGTTTCAAATAAAATACATAGAATGTTTTTCCCCCCTTAACTACTTCGGAGTAAACTGCTGACATGTCTAACTGAATGCAGAAGAAAGAGAGGCGACTTTCTTTTATTAATTATACTGTGAGGACAATAGTTTTTGGTCACAGAGTGAAACATTAAGACTTAACATTTTATATATAAAAGAGAAGACACACAGAGATACAGAGGGAAGACGGCCATGTGACAGTGTAGGCAGAAATTTGAGTGAGGCATCTACAAGCCAAGGAACACCAAGGATTGCCAGGAGCCATCTGAAGCTAGGAGAGAGACATAGAAAAGATTCTCCCTCAGAGCCTCAAAAAGAAACCAATCCTGCCAACACCTTGATTTTGGACTTCTAGCTCCTGAACTGTGAAACAATAAAGTTCTGATGTTTTAAGCCAACCCCCCTCCGCCGCCCGCCCCAGCCACCACCACCACACACACACAAAAAAAGAAACATAACATTTCAGAGGTACAGACCTCCAGGAGATATGATCAACAGTGAGGTTACAATAATACATTCCTGAATTGGATTGATCACTGGAATTCATTGATTCATTTACTCAATAAATATTAACATTATACTGGGCATTAGAGAGAAACAAAGATAAATAAGGCACAGTTCTTACTCTTAAGGAACTTACAGACTAGAAGGGGAAATCAAATACACTTTTAGAAGAGTACACAGGAATATCTAAATCAGCCTTGTCAGGTTGGAGGATGGAGGGTGGAGGGCATGTCAGGGAAGGTTTCTTGGGGAGATGGCTAAGCTGAATTCTGAAGTATGAATAGGAACTAACCATTCCAAGATGAAAAGCCATGGAGAGAGGGCAGTAAAGTCAGAGGGAGCAGTATGTGTACAGGCCCCAAGGTGACAGAGGTCATAACCCATCAGGGGACTGAAAGTCTTTCAGTATAACCAGAAGACATGATACAAGGGAACAAGTACAAAGATAAGGCTGTAGAGTAAGGCAGAATCCCAATCGTGAAGGGCCTTGTACTAAGGAGTTTGCACTTTAAGGCTATGGAAGTCAGTATACTTTAAACAGGTGAGTGACAATGATTAATACGCATCCTGGAAAGATTGCTCTAGCTCTACTAATTGAAGAGGAGCAAAACAAGAAACAGAGAAATTAGTAAGGTATAATAATATTGGAGGAGGAGCCCTGGTGGCGCAGTGGTTAAGCGCTTGGCCACTAATAGAAAGGTTGGCAGATTAAACCTACTAGCTGCTCTGAGGGAAAAAAATGTGGCAGTCTGCTTCTGTAAAAGTTTACAGCCTTGGAAACCCCATGGGGACAGTTCTACTCTGTCCTATAGGGTCGCTATGAGTTGAAATCCACTTGAAGGCTTCCAGTCCATCACTCTCATCAACTTCCAGAGGTCTAGGGCATAGTAGCAGGATAAAGTACAGAATG